GGAGATCTAGATCCACATTTCCACCAATCACTTTCTCCTCTATGTGAGGGGAACCCCTTGGATCTAGATCTTGGAGTTTTGGGTGTTCTCCTTCTTGTCCTTCCTGTCTTTTTCGTCCATAGCTTTCGTTGCTTTGGTGGGATTTGAGAGTGAGGGACTTGGGCACTCCGTGTGCCCTTGCCATTGCATTTGGTGCATCGTTTTGAGTTCTCCATGGTGATACATGGAAGTTCAAGTTGAGAAGCTTATTACTCTTGGGTGCTTGGTACCCTTGAGCTTGTTCCTCTTGGGTGCTTGGGCGCCTAGACGGTTGGTGGTGTTCGGAGCTCAATCATTGTGGTGTAAAGCTCCGGGCAAGCGTCGGGGTCTCCAATTAAGTTGTGGAGATCGCCCCGAGCATTTTGATGGGTTTCGGTGACCGCCCCCAAGGGTTGCCAAAGTGTACGGGTTTGGTGACTTGCCCCAAGGGTTGCCATTTGTACGGGTTCGGTGACTCCCCTCAAGGGTCCCATAGTGGAATCATGACATCTTGCATTGTGCAAGGGCATGAGGAGATTATAGTGGCCCTAGTGGCTTCTTGGGGAGCATTGTGCCTCCACACCGCTGCAAACGGAGATTAGCATCCACAAGGGTGTGAACTTCGGGATACGTCGTCGTCTCCGCGTGCCTCGGTTATCTCTTATCCGAGCCCTTTATTTATGCACTTTACTTTGTGATAGCCATATTGTTTCTTGTCATATATCTTGCTATCACCTAGTAGTTTATCTTGCTTAGCATAAGTTGTTGGTGCACATAGGTGAGCCTAGTTGTTGTAGGTTTTGTGCTTGATAAATTAACCGCTAGGTTTATTCCGCATTTGTTCAAGTCTAAACCATAATTATTTTAAAAGCGCCTATTCACTCCCCCTTTAGACGACATCCACGATCTTTCACTCTTCAACCACCCTTCCTTATCAAACACGTACTCAAAGAAGAAGTCGGGGCCCTTCGCCTTTCTGCTCCTCATAATGCCCGTTGTCGTCTCAGCATCACCATTTGCAATGAGCTTCATTTTCTCTCTGCAACTCAGATTGTAAACGTCTCGCCTAATAAGTCCGCACTTATCGTACGAACCATACCTGCTGATGAAGTTGTCGACCATTATATGCTTTCTGATCACAGCCCCTTGCATCCCAATATCTATGCCCTCGTGTCATCTCCAATATGTCTGTGTGACCACAAAAATGGGACCTCGTTGGGTCGAGCCAGCGTGTGTATGTGATTGTCCATGAATGACGCGGCGAACCAAACTCCACGTGGTTTGTCCAACTTCACCACCATTTGCGCACCACACTCGCAACGAGTCTTGGGTCTAAGCCTGCGGATGCGGTCCTCTATGGTTATGAATTTGCTCTGCCTTTTCTCTGCCCTGGAGCAAAGGAACCGCCTGAACCATATAATTCCTGAAGCACCTTTCCCTCGTTTCACCTTCTCTCTCGTGATGCCAAACCTACGCACTTTGGCGTGCTTCTTGTAGAATATGTATGCATCCCCTTGGGGCCGAAATGTCATAGTCATGACCTTCCAATGTGTCTCCAGCAGCTGCTGCTGGTTTTGAGCCTCCTCAATGTCCATCTCTGCTTCGCCAAGATCACTGCTAGGACCATCTGACCCCTCCTACAAAATTACATATGAAACTATGTCAATTACTATCATTTATTTCATACCACGGCGCGTTGTACAAAATGTTTGAACGAACTTGGCCTAAGTTACCGGCGAATGATTCCTGAAAATTGTTTTGCTCATTCTCAACGTCCACACCTTCTTGTAAATTAATAAACATAGACAAATAATTAGCCATACGGTACTTTGCAAATTAAAAATGTAATCATAGATGTCACTTACGTATTCACTGGTTGCACCAAGTTGATTATTTTCAAAATCTGACGAAGGTAAGATAGCATATGACGCGATTCGGCGTCGCTGCGGTAATCATCTTCGTTAATAGTATTTTTATCGGTCCGAGTGACTTTACGAGTACCATTCTGATCGTCCGTGAATGCCGTTTCTTCGTCCGTATAAACACACCTAACTAGCAACACTGCACAACATTGATAAATTTTTTTTATCTCGGGTTAAAGTTCATATAGTGGGGTAATGTCGATGAATAAATTGCAAGATTAAGACTATTTGAACTTAACTTTTTACAAAAAATAAATCACTTTGGTCCATCATACAAGGGTTAGATGGCAAACCTTGGGCGGCGGTGTCGACGTCGCCGGTCAAGGCCGGCGGGGCTTTGAGGCAGGGGCCTCCGGCGTGATTCAAGACGGCGACGACGTGGAAGACGAGGAAGCCACCCGCGTGATTATGGGGCAGATCCGCGGCGGGGGATGACTGCGGTCAGTGGCGGCGGACGCGGCGTGGGACGTCGGGGCGTTCAGTGCCGGTACGGACAGCGGCGTGGGACGGGGACAGTGAGAAGTAGCGTGGGACGGGGTTGGAACGACGTCAGAAGCTGGCGATGGCAGTGATCGGCCAGTTGGGCAACTGAATCGGGAGCCGCGTGATCGCCGGGCAGGCGGGCGACGAGATCGTGCAAGTTTTTATTTTTTGTTCCTGGGCGGGCGGCAAGCGGGCGTGATCGTGG